AAAGTCAAAGTTATCAAAAACAGTTGTGTGAATAACAAAGAGGTCATTGATGCGCATAAGGTCGATTTTATTTACACAGCTCAGAACCTTATGAAGCTATAGTTGAGCTTGGAGCGTAAAACACCAGCAGCACACTGTTTGCACTGCTGCATGCGCGCAGTCTGACATCCATGGATAATGTCTGTTTGCTTAGGGACGAGACACACAGGACAAAGTTCAGCACTGAGGCAAAAACGTAAAGTAACGGCAGGGCCTGATTTGGATTTGTCGCCCCCTGGTGCTCGTTACCTGCTCCTGCTCCTGAGTTTTACTTTCCGTCCACAGCAGGAAATATTTGCACTTCTGCTTCCAGGCAAACAGAAACACACTAAACATGATGAAAGAACGACTAAGAAGCTAACACAAACTAAATGATCAAACGAGAACACAAAAGTACAAGAAAACCAAACATAAACCACTCAGAGAGTATAACCCAACTTAGAATATAATCCCACCTGATGAAAACAGCCCATAACATAAACCCTGAGTCAGAGACGCAGGGCCGTGACCGCTGGACAGATGGCCTCACATATGACTCTAGAATACTTTGACATAAGTTCATAGTCAACTCAGTGACTGCAAGGTCCCCACGTCCTGTGGCTTCAAAACAAGCCAAATCATCAACCTTCCTCCATTGAGCTTGACTGTAGATATGTTGTGTGTTTGTGCCTTACAGTGAAAAATCTCAATTTTAGTCTCAGTGGTCCAAAAAGACATTGTTCCACTGGTCTAGTGGTTTGTTCAAACCTAAACTGAGTGATGTCCTATTTAGAGAGACAAGACCTGTCTTTCAAACAAGCCAAACTAATTCAGTCTCTTTACCTGTGATGTCATGAACTTTAATATTAAACATGATAACTGAGAAATCCAGAGTAAAGAGCTGACAGCCCGAGCAGGAGGACGGAGACCAGCACTTGCAGCCAGAGCTCCGGCACTGCTGAGCGCTCCTTCACGGCAACCCAAAAATCTTTAGTCCGGTAGTGTTCCCATTTGGATCCGTCAAATGCGCACATGGAATAATATTTAATCTTCTCCCCTCTCCGCAGGTCTTTGGCCAGCAGCTCCACCAGCACGCATTCTCATCAGAAATGGGTTCAGTGGATGCGTGGCTGTCAACAAGTGGTTCTTAAGGAAAAGAAACAGGAAAGATTTAACAGGAGAGATCTAACAAATCACACGAGAACTCGACTGAAAATGAGCAGAAATCTGGTTTTCTGGAGTGATGAATCCAAATGTGAACCATCATCAATATGCAAGAAGGAAGACAGGAGAGAGGTGCAACAATGGGTGTCTACAGCCATCTGTAAAACATGTTTTGCAGTTGCTTTTCAGCCAGTGGTGTTTGCAATTCACAACTGATGGAATTATGAATGAAGACAAAGTACATGACGATTTTGACCCGCTGTGAAATACCATCTGGAAAGTGTCTGACTCCCAACAGCTTCGTATTTCAGCACGAAAATGATCCCAAACACACCGCCAATGCAGTATAAGCATGCCTGGATAGAAAAACCTCAATATTATTGAAGCAGTTTGGGATCATTTTGACAGAGAACAGAGCAAAAGGCAGACCATGAAGACTACTTAAAGAAATGAGAAGAACATTTGCCTAAGAGAGTTCAGGCTGTGTTAAAGAATAAAGGTGATCATTGACTATTACTTTTATTACTATTATTTGTTCCCATTTCCTAGAAAATTTGAAAGAAATGAAG